CGTTGAGAAATATCAAAGTGTTCTCTGAATGACATCTTTGCCAAGCAAGCAACCTCCTGTGTTAAAAATGCAGAAGGGCATTACCAATCCATCTGCTGATAGAACAGAGCCTTGGGGGCAATCTGCACATGCTCAGTTTGGTGTGTGTTGCTAGAGATTTTTTTGTTTTCTTGGGGGAGTGTATGTGGTCAGCACAGGGCCAATCATCACTCTCCAGACAGAGGGTCAGGGGACCTGCAGCCTCATTGGACAATCAGAGGAGAATGAAAAGTTATCCTATGAGCTTTAACCAGTGCTCTGCTGAGCACTGGTAGAAGTCACAAGACTGCTCTAACTTCTGATGAGAAAAGATATTTAGCAGTTTGTTTACTAAAATATTTGCATTTCCATGTTGTGTGTACTGTGGGAGACCAGATATAGGGACTGCAGGGTCCTGGGTTTAGTAACACTCAGGGGTGGACTGACCATTTGGAAACTCAGGCACTGCCCGAAGGCCCGGGGTCAGTAGGGGGCCCCATGAGATGCCCCTGGTACCTTTTTCAAGGTCTTTTTTGAGTTTGGGCAAGGACACAGGGGCCCCATGATTCCCTATTGCCCGGGGGCCCCATGAGTTGTCAGTCCACCCCTGGTAACACTTTACGTCAGAAATCCTTAGTAATCCTTTCAAGTACGTGTTACCTTTAAAATATGCAGAAATCCATTTACTAGAAGCAGACCCACTGTTTTTGTCATTATTATATTTATCTTGAGCGCCACAATGCTAAATTGTCTAGAAATAAGCATTTCAAACCCTTTTCTGAGGGTAGTGGCTAAATGGTTAGCACTTCCGCCTGGCAGTACTCGGGTTGTTGGTTTGAATCCCAGCCACAGCATTACCTGCCTGGAGTTTGCATGTTCTCTCTGTGCCTGTGTGGATTTCCTCCAGGTTCTTCAGTTTCCTTCTACACTCCAAAGACATGCTGGTAAGTTAATTGGCCCCTGTCTAAACTGGCCCTAGTATGTGTATGTATGAATGTAAGATTGTACAGCCCTTGAGGGTTAGGGACTGATATGAATTTGCAATATATATGTGTGTGTGTGTTTGTGTGTGTATAAAGTGCTGCTTAAATTGATGGTGCTATATAAGTACCTGAAATAAATAAATACATTTTCTCAGAGCAGACTTGGCTCCCTTAGAGCAAGTTTTATCACCTTTTTGTACCTTTAAATTCTCAGGCCCGTCAACTGGTCAGGTTCTCAAGATAGCTTTGCTTAATGTCAGGTAGCTGTGATCGTATTAGCACAAGGGCAAATAACTGAGCCATTAATTAACCCAGCGGTGTGAGTATATTTGTAATGTGCGACCTCCTCGGGAGCGCCTGGAGTGCTAGAGGGGGAGAGACGGAACACAGAAGGAAAAAGGTCCACTGCAGTCACAGAAAATGGAAAGGGTTTATTGCTAATAGTTTTTGTTCCGTACAATTACAGCCTTGGTTCACAAGTACATGGTTGTAATGAAGTGTGTGTTCTCGTGCAGCCTTTCTTTTAATTGTTTTACCCCTAGCTGTCGTCAACTGTATGAGCGTCACATCAGAAGGCAGTGCGACAATTATTTTTTTCAGCTTCTTTATATAAATAAATGAGTAGATAACTCATCTGTAGCACAGTGAGACAAGGGGACGCCTTCCCTTGAGCAGAGCTGTATTACAAATAAGGCACCCCTGTAACCTAGGGCAGAAGCATTACTTGGAGCAATACCAATTATGAATAGGCATATCTATAAAAAAAAAAATAATGCCAAGCTATTCATCCTGTGAAACTACATGTACATTCATTCTGTGTGAAAGATGGCAAAACCGAATGTTTTTAGGCTATTTGCCCTCCTGGTTGAATGGTATTCATTAGCCATTTTCCTTCCACCCTATAGTAGAGCTACTGCTACAGGGCAGCAGCACTGTGCAAAATCACGTATATATACGTGATTTGCATTTCGCACGCACACCGCCCTGCCCGCACCGCCATCGGCGGCTAGCGATATAAGTCACCAGGTCCCAGCCGGAGATTCCCTGCCACCACCTCATTGAGCAAAGCAGATAGGGGAGAGACCTGTGTGTAAACGACATAGGTCTCTCTCCTGCCAGCAAGAACATGATGCTGTGTATTTCTCTGCACAGCAGAGTTTACAAAGCAGCATATCTCCCTAGTAAAACACACAACACATCATTTAAAACAGCACACAGCCCTTTGATCACTCCAGATGTTAATCCCTTCCTGCCCAGTGTCAGTGCTTTTTATTAGCACTGATCACTGTATTAGTGTCATTGGGATGTCAGTGGCAGTTAGTCAGTCTTCCCCCCCAGTGTCAGAATGCCCGCCACAGTCCCGCTATAAGTCGCTGATCGCCTCCATTACTAGTACAAAAAAAAAAATTAAATAAAAATGCCAGTATATATACGCGCTATTTATAGATGCTATAACTTTCACATAAACCAATTAATTTACACAAATTTTTAGCAAAGACATGTCGCAGAATACATTTTGGCCTAAATTTATGACAAAATTTGATTTTCTACATTTTTTACTGGATATGTTTTATAGCAAAAAGTCAAAAATAATGGGGTTTTTTTTCAAAATTGTCGGGTTTTTTTGTTTATAGCGCAAATAATAAAAACTGCACAGGTGATCAAATACCACCAAAAGAAAGCTCTATTTATGGGAAAAAAGAGCATATAAATTTAATTAATGTACAGCGTTGCATGACTGTTGAATTGTCAGTTAAGTCACGCAGTGCCATATCGCAAAAAATCGCCTGGTCAGGAAGCGGGGTAAATCCTCTGGAGGGCAAGTGGTTAAAGTGATGCTAAATGATATTTTTATTCTCCAAAAAGACACCTTTCCCTAATAATGGTCATGTATTTGATTTTTTATGACATTGTTTCTTACTGTGTTCCTCTGCCTCCTTGTAATGGCCTCCCCCCCTTCCCCACACACACACACACTTTGGAATGAGCAGGTTAGTTGTGGTCATGTGCACTGCTCTTTACACACCTACAAATCCCATAGTCCATCTCAGGAGCGTGCAAGAGAGGGTGGCTGTGTTCTACATACAGTGGGACCATGAGGAACAAATGTAGTCACCCTCTAACAGGAAGCCAGATTGCAGCAGAAAAAATGTAATTGGAGATTTGGAGGAGTGCAAGGGACTTTTCTGAGTTGAGAATACAAACTTAACCCCATTCACGCCTAAAACAAATCTTAATGCCCAAGTAAAATTCTGCAACTTTTACATGTGTTAATGAAACCATGCATATCATCACAACTACTTTGTGTATCCAGGTGGATTATACCTTGTTTATTCCAGGACAAATTGGGCTTTCATTTGGTGGTAAATTGTAATGAATATCTACTGTTTTTTTTTTATTATCAAAGCAAAACTGGCTTAAAATAGTAAAACAAAAAAACATTTTTTGGAATTTTGCTGTGTTCTTGTTACTACCATAACCTACTACCAAAGAACAACCCAAAATAAATTCTCCAGCCCCTGGCTATCACAGCAATACCACATATGGGTATGTTATTTGTTGTTTGAACCCGTAGTACAGCCCAGAAACAATAGTGCTCATTTTTTTTTTCTTACCCAAAAACACTGCCACTAACTGACACTGATACAAATTTTTGAAAAATGTAAACCTGACCTTTGACCCTGACTTTTGACCCTGACCTTGACCCAAACACTAACCCTGGCACTGACCTAGATCAAACTCTGATCTAGGTATTTTTATCTTATTTTTTTCTTTAATTTTTAAATATGTATTTATTTATCTTTGAGAGAGAGAGAGAGAGAGAGAGAGAGAACAGGGGGCGGGATTCACTGATCAGTGACTGATCACTGTGATAGCCAATCAGAGGCTATCACAGCGATCAGGTGACACAGAATCGAGAGTTCCAGGTCCCAATCCATGGCCCGTGTGAAATGGGCGTTACATTGAACCTGTTTAGAAAATAGCCAAGTAACAGGAATGAATGTACAGGCAGTTTTACAGGACAAACAGCTCTGTATTTTTTGATAAATACACCCCAAAGTGTATGTTAGAATTAAATTACAAAGTTGGGAACAGGGGCAGACTGACAACTCACGGGGCCCCCGGGAAATAGGGGATCATGGGGCCCCTGTGTCCTTGCCCAAACTCAAAAAAGACTATGAAAAAGGTACCAGGGGCATCTCATGGGGCCCCTACAGTGCCCGAGTTTCCAAATGGTCACTCCGCCCCTGGTTGGGAACTACCTCTCTTAGGCTAAGTTCATCCTTCTGCGTCTGTGTTTTTTGTGTTTTTCTATGCATTTTGCTGCATTTTTCACGTGTTTTTGATGCTCAAATTGAAGTCTAAATGGCCAAAAATGCACCAAACAAAATACTTGTAGCTTTTTCCAATCTGCACAGAAGTACATTACATAAGTGTGAACAGCACCCATGGGCAATAATGTGATTCCTCTTGTTTTTGTTTATTTAATAATTACAGGCAGGGCCGGTGCTAGACTATTTTGCACCCTAGGCAAGACCAGCTACTTGCACCCCCCCCCCCCCAAAAAAGTGTGACAACAAGTAGGGGCATCCTGCCCTAGGGATGAGTCCATGTGTCCAGTATGAAGTTACAGCCATGAGTCTTTGTATGGGCTGCCATGGTGTCATGTCATGGTACCATAAGAGATGACGGGGGCTGCCCATTGATCTATAGCAGGTGGCAGCATAAGAACCTGCTCAGGTCAGGCTGCACAGCTGTGAGTGTATGTGAGAAGTAGATGAGCGGTGCTGCCCATTGATGCGGTGTACACAGTATAAGCCATTCTGCCCGGTCATGCTGCACAGCTATCAGCCATTCATGTCTTGGCTGTCAGAGCAGACACATCGGGGCAGCAGTGCCAGCTTCTGCTCCAGCATGAGCTCCAGCTTCTGGGCTTGCTTGGACAGCCAGTGGTTGTCCCCATGCAGCCGGTAGCAGCCCTCCAGCATGCTCCTAAAGTCAGTCACGAACAGGGGCGGACTGACAACTCATGGGGCCCCCGGGCAATAGGGGATCATGGGGCCCCTGTGTCCTTGCCTAAACTCAAAAAAGCCTATGAAAAAGGTACCAGGGGCATCTCATGGGGCCCCCTACTGACCCCAGGCCCTCGGGCAGTGCCCGAGTTTCCAAATGGTCAGTCCGCCCCTGGTCACGAAATAGTGCAGTACTGGCCTGCAAAGAAATTCTGCTGTATCCTGAGGAGAGACATGGTGCTCACCTGCTCCTCCTCTGCTCGCCCAGCTGTCCTCAGACTCCCGAGAACAGGCTCATTGTTGCCCTCCTCACCTCCAATCTGCTGCTGATCCCTCTCTGCAGACCCCTGTAATGGTGCTGTATCCTGAGGAGAGACATGGTGCTCACCTGCTCCTCCTCTGCTCGCCCAGCTGTCCTCAGACTCCCAGAACCACAGTGGCTACTTTCTCTGGATTGGCCAGCAGAGAGTCAGTCAGCTCCCCAGCCCCGTGTAGAGTGGTGGCCTTTAGCCCCTCATGTTCCCCGGCCAGGTTAGTAGCAAAACCAGTGGCCATGGCTACGCCCTAGGCGGCAGTGCGCCGTAGGCGGCTGCCTAGCTCGCCTAGAAGTAGCACCGGCTCTGATTACAGGTATTTATAGTGAATTGTTGAAATAAAAATTCACATACGTGTGAACAAGGATTTAAGCTGGCTATACGCTCACAGATCTCCATGCAGGCAGCCTTTAGTTCCTCTGTAATCTGTAATAGTTTTTCTAAAGTCATACATTACCTGGTGATCCTGCCAGTCCCTTTAATAAATAACCCCTTCCAGTTTATTACTGGCCACACTAGACATGAAAGTAGATCTGTCCTAGTGTGGTTAGACACATGGAGTGCATGTAGTCCCAATCTGAAGTCAGATTACAGTTGCCATGCGTCATCACGCCAAAGGGGGACCCCTCCAACAACTCAGCCTGCTGCAAAAGATCAGAGGAAGCTGGTGAGCATGTCATTGACCCACTGTTGGACTATTTGCTGATGCTGTGTAGATCCTTCATGGAGCTTTATCATTTGCTACCCTAAATTTGCATTTGCCCACTATTAAGCACCGCTAGTCATATTTGTCCAGGGCCTACATTATAAAACCTTAACCTATTGCCTGGACCCTCCCACTCCAGTGTCCTAATGAACCCATTATTTTCTTAAGACTAAATCACTGGGTGCAAGACTATTCAAAATCAATATGCACGCCAACAACTACAAGGGCCCCAACGCAGCCTGAAAAAGATTAAACTTTAGGGCTGTACATAGCTCACTTACTATTAAGAGTAGTTACATTATCTCACAATTTTATTTCACAAAAGGCATAGGCTTATTAAGCCCATGGGCTCTTATGATAAGCTCCTTCATCATATGAGCCCATAGGCAACTTAGCCTCTAGTTGTGTTGATATCTACTCTGGATACCTGGTGCTGCTCATTTAGTGAGGAAAGCTACAGTCTATGTCAGTACCTTAAGTATCTGAAGAAACTCTCAGTGTTTTGTGTATGCTGTTATATTCTTTGCCTGTTTTAACTGATAATACTTGACAATACAGTCTGTTATTTGCTGCAAGGTTTCGAGTCTAATTTCAGGGTGACCCTAAGGTATTGAGAAACTGCTAACACATAGCTGCTAATGTGGTGTACCCTGAGGTGTCAGTGGGATTGAGGCCTTTATCAGATTAAAGAAAGAACAAAGAACCCTACATAACCAGTGGCTCCTGCAGGGGTAGTGCTACACAGTTATGGAAATTTTATACAGAATACAATGTTCCATCTTGGACCAATGTAACTATGTATATACCATACCTGGCAAAGGCCCCTGTAAAATGGAAATCACTGAAGTAGACATCTACTCCAGGGATCTCAACTTGCTTTCAGGTCCTGTGTTGAACAGCTCCTTTGCTGCATCCTGAACACAGGAGGTCAGTCGCTCAGCATGGGAGACAGAGAAAATGAAAATGCAAAGCACTGTATGATTGGACGAGGTGGAGAGATGAAGTGGTGATATCACACCCTCCACCTCGTCCAATCAAAGCATTCTTTGGAAGTTAGAGACTGCCTTACCTTGTGGTAGTTCCAGGTCAAAGTGTACCGTTCACATATCCAAAATGCATGCATCTAAGTTACCCATATTAAAAATAGTGCCAGCTCTTACCTCAGCATTGCAATGAGGTATGTTTTGAAAAATATATATTTTAATTTTTTCTTGGTTTTTGATACATTGGGAGAAGCAATAGAAGCCAACCTATCCAAGAGCATGTTCTATTCATTTGATGTGTTTGCAACAGAGCCTTGGTCAATGACAGTTAACTCTACCCACTTCTAATCCTAAATCCAAAACACATTGGTGCAGACAATAATGCATGTCAATGCATAAAGAAAACACACTGTGGCGCAGGACAACACACCTGCCTTACGAAGCAAAAAAAAAAAAGCACCTCTATACTCACCCATTGATCTAAATGATTTGTCTTTCCCTGACTTGCCCTGCTTCTGGGACTTCATCTATGGGGACATCTGGTTAAGTGTATTGATGATACCAAGGTCTGATGTAAATCATTCAATATACTTTATAAAAACAGTCAATGCTATATAAATTATTACAATAAACAACAAGCTAAAATAACAATTGCACAGGTTTGCTGGAACTGAATTTTAGCCGTGTTGTGAATGTCCTTGCATTACACGTTTTTGCATTATTTTGCACTGTCCTCAATACTTTTCCCCCTTCGTTTCCATTGCTTTTATGTATTTCCTTTGTCCTTTCTGAATTAGCCAGCGGTTTATAAATATAATTATAATTTATCTTGGAAAGCAGAATGGGAGATATTTTAAAGAGGTTTAAATGGACCTTCAACAAGCATTAGTGGTGCACCATTTAGTTGCTGCTGGAAGAGAGTGCAGAATGACGATGGGGTGAATTCCAGCTGAGCTCAGAAGGGGTTAAATGTGGAATGGTTTCAGAGCATTGTGTGCTATTACACTTAGTAAGTTCTGCTTGGGAATCACTGTACATTGCCTCCATTCTCCGTCCTACCAGCTTGCAGAGATGTCTGCCTGACACCTAGTGGTAGTGTTCCCAAGTCAGCAAAAGGATACGCTGAACTTCATTTTACTCATTTTTTAAAGTTCCTCTCTTCTGCCTCCTCCTCCTTTTTATACAATAGCAAAAATAAAATGCATTTAAAAAGTAAAAACTTAAAATAATTTCTTTTTAGCTTTTACTCTCTAAATCCTGGCCTAGGATTCGCGTCACAGCCTGCTTGTATGCGCAGAAACGTTGCGGGTCTCTACCTCTGGAACCTCGGGAACCTCTGCTTCAACCAAAACAACATCAGACTTCATTAACCAGTTTCCCTCCTGTGGATTTACTCCCTTCCTGACCTGGCCATTTTTTGCGTTACGGTGATGCGTTACTTTAGGTGACAATTGCACAGTCATGCAATGCTGCGCTGAAATGAAATTTACATCCTTTTTATCCCACAAATTGAGCTTTCTTTCGGTGGTATTTGATCGCCTGTGCATTTTTTATGTTTTCCGCTATAAAAAAAAAGTCTGATAATTTTGAGAAAAAAAATATTTGTGACTTTTTGCTATTAAACATGTCCAGTAAAAAAATTTGAAAAATCTAATTTGATCATAAATTTAGGCCAAAATGTATTCTGCTACGTCTTTGCTAAAAAAAAAATCCCAATAAATGTAAATTTAATGGTTTACATGAAAGTTATAGCGTTTACAAATGGTGGTATATATACTGTGATTTTTTTTTTTAATTTTTACTAGTAATGGCAGCGATCAGCGACTTATAATGGGACTGCGGCGGACATTCTGACACTAGTGGGAACTGACACCAATACAGTGATCACAGCTAAAAAAAAAAAACACTGACACTGTACTAATGGCACTGGGCATTAAAGGGTTAACTGTGTGCTGGGTGTGTTTTACCAGGGGGCAGTGTCTGTGTGCTACACTGTAAGCACACTGCTTTGGATGGCTGTGTTGTGCACAGCCATCCAGAGCAGTGTGCTCGAACAGGAGGGAGAACTGTTAGTAAACAAAACAGTTCTCCTCCCTGTCAGAGATCCTCGGTAATCACAGGCTGGGTGATTGACAGCAGCGGTGTGAGGCACATGTGTGCCCCCTATCTGGAACTGCAAAATCGCATATATATACGTAATTTTGCGCACCTGTGCTGCCCTGTAGCTGTATTTCTGCTATAGGGTGGTCGGGAAGCGGTTAAAGAGGCTCTTCAGGGTGTTTGCAAAAAAATAAAACTCAGCAGCAACAAATAGTCTTCACCTGGGCCAGTTTTTTTTCACCAGTCTTTGGCCCCCTGGCGCTGGCATGTTTAGTGTGGGAAACCATCTGTGACCCCTTGCGGCTTCACAGCTAGCTGCCCACTGCAAATGCACAAGTTGCGCTGTGGTCTCTCAGCCTCATGGGACCTGTGATGTGTCCCAAGAGGTTGCGGGCAGGGAAGGGGGGGGGGACAAACTTCTAGTGGAATCACCCAGGCAATCCAAACGGAAGTGGGTACCACCCAAAACTAGGTACCCACTCCACCCCCAAAAAACAAGTGGCCAAAAGTGTTAAAGGAAAGGGAAGGGGGACACAAAACAGAACTTCTCCTTTAGGGAGAAGTTCTGCTTTAAGTATGTAGTATTTATTTTTCTATTTTGAGATCAAGAGGAGTGTTAAGCTGGCCATACACTAGCAGGATCAAGCAACACTACACTTTTGATCCTGTAAGGGTTAACTGCTTGTGTAAGTCTAGGGGGGAAAAAAGTAGTTTTAATTTCCTGATCCTACCCCTGCTGCATCTTCTCTCCCATACTCCAGCAGACTAAGGTCCTGACGTCAAGACCCATGCAAGGTCAATAGCCCTAGTTTGGACATAAAGGCGTTGAGGAACAGTCCACCACTGGAGTATGATGGAGCACCAGACAGGGTGAGTAAAAGAGCTGTTCTGTCCCCTAGATTTAAACAAGCATTTAATCCTTGCAGTGCAGGCGCAGTGCCACTGCAAAGAAAATTTTTCAGATTTCATGGTGCTGGGCTTTAAATTCATGTATGAAATCTTATCAGTTATGATTTGGATATCATGTGTGTTTCTGTGCTTAACAAGGGAGGAGAGAGGACAAGCTCCAGCTAAGCATAATAGTTTTTAAAACACCTTTAATAATCAAAGATAAGATTCCTTCACAGACAAGCGTATAAACAGGCATATAACACTACATATGCTGGCATCATGAGTCCCGGTCTGCAGGATAGATCAGCTGCTTTGGTCTCACTGATAGGCTGCTCTTGAGGCTCCCAGGGCTTCCTGATCAGCATGGAATATGGAGACAGGTGTAAGCGAGATCACCTTTGACTGTCTCTGTGTTCCACACTAATCAGGAAGCCTTGGGAGCCTCCGGGACAGTCTATCAGTGGGACCACAGCAGCTGATCAATCAAGCCGTGACCTGTGATGACAGCCTATGTAGCGTTCAGGGGGTGGACTGACAACACATGGGGCCCCCGGGCAATAGGGGATAATGAGGCCCCTGTGTCCTTGCCCAAACTCAAAAAAGCCTATGAAAAAGGCACCAGGGATATCTCATGGAGCTCCCTACTGACCTCAGGCCCTCGGACAGTGCCCGAGTTTCCAAATGGTCAGTCCGCCCCTGGTAGCGTTACATGCCTATTTTTACACTTCTTTTTATTTGCGAGTGAATCTTATCTTTGATTATTAAAAGCTGTTTTACCTTACTATGCTTAGTGGCCTCTTGTCCTCTCTCCTCCCTTGCTTATATTCCAGAGTTGCTTCTTACTGTAAGGACCAGACTGCTGCTTAGTGGACTAATAGTTACTAACCTGCATGGTCATTTTGGACTGTATATCAATTAGGACCATCATTTTGCTCCTTACGTTTCTGTGCTTATCATCTGCTTTCTTTAGCTCCTCTGTTGAAAAAAAAGCCTGGTGTCCACAAAGCTCATTCCATAATTTACACACACAACTGAATAAGTCCTTGCCATCGACTTCCTGTGCCATTAAAACAACAGGACATGAGAGAAAATCTCCCCAATAGAAAACCTCACTTTGTTTCTGAAGACAGTGTTAACAGGACAGACAGAGCAGGAATCTCCACTGCAAGGACAAAGACAGCAGTACAAACCTGGAAAAAAGTTTTGGTTCTTACAGACACTTTAATTGCAAGAGCAGAATTTGTTGCCCAGTGCAAGAAATCAGCATTACTCTACTGCACTAATTTTGAGACTCAAGAACATCAAGGGAATTCTAGATGGGTCGGACGCATAGTCCATTGCAAACATTTGTGGTAACGCTAGATTTGCAATTAGCTGAAGGTCCCAGAAAACTATGGAAAAGGTCACTTGTATTTCCATGTGTTGCAAAGGCCAGGATCAATCACAGGAGAGAAGTTTTGATTTCTGGTTGCAAAGTAGCAGAATCAAAGGTAGTCTACTTTATCTTTCCCACCATCTTCAGGTCATACCACAATGCTATCAAGAACTGACCTGAGAATGAAGTCCATGTGAAAGGGATAAACCTGTAAAAGTTCAGGTGCTGACCTTCCCCTCACCAAGCTGGAAAACATAAAAAATGTCTTCTCAAAGCTTTTATTATAAGTTCAGATTGAAGTTAACAAAAGATATATATACCTGAAATTATATTTAACTCTGCCGTTACGTTTTTGAACCACAGGACTGTAAAGCTGGAAGAGAAATATGACATGGTTAGGAAAAGTTGCTAAGTGTCAAGAAGTTAAAGCAGTATTAAACTCAAAACCAAAAACGTAATATATTACAGCTTAACAATCATTGGACATGCTGGCTGCATCAGTTTTGTTTTCTTAGGCCTTTTCCCCTCTGTTTTCACCTCCTGTATTAGTGAGACACCAGTCTGGAGGAATGAGCACAGGGCACATCAGCCAGCAGCATTGTCAGTCTGGAGGAGGGGGGAGGAGTGGCCATTTATTATTATTATTATACAGGATTTATATAGCACCAACAGTTTGCGCAGTGCTTTACAATATAAAGGGGGATAGTACAATTACAACACAGTTCAGTACAGAAGGAACAGTAGGTCCTTGCTCATTGAGCTTACAATCTAAAGAGTATTAGCAGATTTGAATGCAATTACAAACTGAGGCCAAACACCAGCTAACACGTAATCAGTTCCAGAAAACTGTTTTTTTCCTGTTGGGATAAAGATTTTACATGTATAAATAAAAGCTTACCATTTAATCACCCCTGCCACTGTTGAATGGTCTCATCCATGTAAACTGATAAATTCTGCTGGAGAGATTGAGCTTCTGAAAAACAGCTGAGTTTCTGGCTGGATCACCAGATGAAAGTAGAAGCCTAAATAAAAAATGAATGCAACCATCAAATCAAAGAATTGGTAAGGTACAATATAATAAATGTTTCCTTTTGGGTTCAATACTGCTTTAAAGCTGAACTCCAGCCTTCCCTTTAGTCTTGTGTTTTGGCTCCTCTCCTGTACTGAAATAGCTTACTCTGACTTCACTGCACACTTTGAACTCTCACAGTATGTACTAAAAGCTGCATCAAGTCAGAAGAGGCTGCAGCAAGTCAGAAGGGACTACTTCAAACAGTGCCAGATTTTTAAGAGGGCAAAAGGGCCAACTTACAGAAGAGGCGCCCCTCCATACAAAAATATTTTTTTTAAAAAATGATATAACAATGAAAAAATAAATAATAATAAAAAAATATATAATAATAAAAATCCTTTTTATTAAATGTATATTGGGAAGTAATATTTTGCTTGCCATCCTCTGTAAGGTTTTACTTGGATTGTATCATTTTTAAAAACTAATTTTGGAAGATCAAGCAAACCACACAGGGAGTGCTTACGCTCTTAAGGAAGGTGGCCTATGACTGCATGCATGTGTGCATGTGTGACCTCAGAATGACGTTGTGTCGTGTATTTTGTGATGAAAGTTGAAAATGTGTGACTGTTAATATGGATGTGAATGACCCCCCCCCCCCAATCTGAAGTTCCCCCGGCCCCCCAAGGTCTAAAACTGTCCCTGACCTCAAAGCTAGATTCATTAGATTTCAGCATTTGCAATCGTGAAAGCTCAGCATCACATGTGGGCAGTTGATTGCCCTGTGGGTACGCCTGTCAGGGAACGTCCACTCCTCCAGACTGACATCCTCCCATCAAGGCATTTTGATATTTGCATAAATCTTCCCAAGAGCCAGTCCACTGCTTGCATTGGGGTTGATGACTCCTGAAAAAAGTACAGAGGCAGGGTGCAATGCTGTTTTCAGGAAGCTATGTACAGCCCCCTGCCAGCCCTTCCCACCAGCTATGATCTGCCTATATAGCATAGAAAAGCACAGAGATCTAGTAGTGAAGGCATAGGGTCTAAAATAAGGTATGTAATGACAATGGAGAGGTTAAAATTAAAAATGTCATTAGGAATTAAGGAATGACCAGGAAAGGCAAAGTATTCGCAAATTAAGATTCAGCTTTAAAGGCATAGTCTACCTTATGAAGAAAACAATCCATTCAGACAAGGAGCCCCAGTATACTACCATGCACTGGGCCTTTTTGCAAAATACAGCATGCACTGCACATGCACTGCTTTTGAAAAAGAGATGAGCACTGCCGTAATGCTGAGAAAGAGTGTTCAAGCTCTGCCGTGCCTCGGAAGCTAATAGGGGCAAATGAACCCACATGGAAGAAAAATATATTTTAAATATATTTTTTTAAATATTCTTCCCAAATATATTGACATATGTTTGAAATACTACAATTTTGGCCGTATTCAATAATTCAATATATTAAAAAAATATATTTAAAAAAAAAAAAAAAAAAATATATATATATATATATATATATATATATATATATATATATATTATATGTTGAAATGTGTTTTTTATATATTAAAAAAATATGAAAAATATTTTTAAAAATACATTTTCAAATATATGTCTTTGCAAATACATTTAATCTACATTTTTGGAATACATTTACAAATATATGTAAAAATATATGTTACAATGACTTTTTTATATGCTAAAAAAACTGAAGGATATATTTTTAAATATATGCCTTTAGAAAATACATGTTAAAATATATTAGCGTAGGCCAATATACTGTAAATATATGTCACATATATATATTTTTTTCTAAATATATTGGAAATATATTTCTCTTCCATGTGGGAAGGTCAACAATATGGGAGTATATTGGCCAGGCTTTGGAAGTGTTAGCCTACACGAGTGCCAATCACATTATATATATTGAAAAAAAGGCACAGTACATTTTAGTATACTGGGGCTCCTTGTCTATGTGGCCAATTTTACACATTAAGTCACAGAAATATTGAAAGCTGAAGTTTTAACAATAACTTTTATAACATCCCTGTTTTATGTATAATTTATATTGATATATGTACTTGGGTCAGCCATATTTAATAATTACATATGCAGAGTATGCGTCTCACTCTGCAGTGCTCTACAGTGGTTGTGCTTTACTGCTCCTTCTCAAAATGCAACCCTATAAATAATCGTGGATACATGCTGATACTTTTATTTTCATTTTCAGTACCTTCTTTATCACATGTTGCTTAACTGTATTTTCTACCTGGAATTTCTTCCAATAAACATTTACTAAACAAAACAAAACAAAAACTCCATAAGACTAGGTTCACACCTATGCAGTTTGCGTTTGATTCGTTTCTGCAGTGCTTTTTGCAGTACAATCTGTGTTTTTGCACATGCGTGTGTGCCATGTTTTTGCTGTGTTTTTGATGCATTTTTCTTTTTTTTTTTTTTTTTTCTTGTTGCTAGGCAGATTAAAATGCAAAATGCATCAAAAACAGCAAAAATGCACTACATGCTTTCTGCAGTGTCTCCATTGAAGTCTATAGAACCAAAACTGCAACTTTTTGAGTTTAAAAAAGTTCCTGTCCCTTTCTAAAAAAACTCACCAGGTGAAAACGCGGAGCTGAGAACGTGTCCCATAGGAAATCATGATAAATGGACTGTAGTGCGTTTCTGCAAATTGCTGTGGAAAACACTTAGGTGTGAAACTAGACTAAGTTAACAGAGGCACTGAAAACAATGCACTCGCCGTATGGCTGATATATCAGAAATTGTTAATACGAATCATTAAAGTCCGACAGTAAAAAAAAAAATCACCAGAAGAGTTTTGGGCAGAAGAGACATGAAGTGTCTCTTTTGTAAAAAAAAAAAAAAAAAAGATTGCCCCGGCTTCTATTTGTAGAAGATCTGAAAGGAAGGGGATCCAGTGCATTTTGCAACCAGCCTAACGACATCTGGAAAAGATAAGTATAAAAAAAAGCAAAAAAAATATTTGGGGGTTCCATTGGTAAAGGGTGCTATAATCATTATAATTCTCTTTACTGAACTTGGGCTAGGGAGTCTTCCTCCACCTGCTGGATTCACCGCATTGTAAAATATATGATTGTATTCAATAGTGAAAGTGAGATCATATGATAGGTGGGTGGTACTGGGAACACAAAAGCAGATTTCACCACAGAAGAGTGTGTGATTTGCCCTTTCACTATCTCAACTGAGATGTAATTTACAGTGGGGATCGAAAGTTTGGGCACCCCAGCTAAAAATGTGTATTAATGTGCATAAAGAAGCCAAGGAAAGATGGAAAAATCTCCAAAAGGCATCAAATTACAGATTAGACATTCTTATAATATGTCAACAAAAGTTAGATTTTATTTCCATCATTTACACTTTCAAAATAACAGAAAACAATCTGCAAAAGTTTGGGCACCCTGCAGAATTTATAGCATGCACTGCCCCCTTTGCCAAGCTGAGACCTGCCAGTGTCAT